GTGTGAGTATGTATGAGAGTGTGTTTGTGAGTGTGATTGTGTGTGTGTGAGCTAACAGACATTTTGATGCATGAGAGTGTGTTTGTGAGTGTGTGTGTGTGTGTGTGAGAGACAGAGAGTGAGAATGTATGAGAGTGTGTGTGTGTGTGTGTGTGAGAGAGAGAGAGTGAGTATGTATGAGAGTGTGTGTGTGAGTGAGTGTGTGTGTGTGTGTGTGAGAGAGAGAGAGTGTGAGTATGTATGAGTGTGTGTGTGTCAGTGTGAGTGTGTGTGTTTGCGTGCACATGTATCTGTCTGAATATGCCCTGGTCTGTGGGCACCCGCGTGCCGCAGAGCATTATGGGTTAAGCGGCCGGCACACCACGGTGAGGACAGTAACGGCTGTTGGCAGGTCACGCTGATGGGTTTGGCCACCGAAGCCCAGCTGTACTGTAACTCAGCAACCAAACAAATCTGTGAGGGAGGAAGAGGCAACAACAGACTGGAGGGGAACACTTAGCTGGTGGGGGTGGGCAAAGTGTTTACGAGAGCTGTAGGCGGACCCAGGGAGGGGCGCCCATATTTAGTCCCCCCACTTCCTGTACGGTGTCCTGAAGAGCAGCCGCTGAGATGGACCAGAACCATGATGAGGACATGAGGATGAGATGGGGGGAGGTAGAGAAGGAGGGCAGGGAGATCCCCAGGACAGAGATGCTCTGGGGGGGGGGGGCACATCATTTCTCTTCATTTTAAAGAATCCCTGGTGCTGACTTAGGACCGCTCCTCCACCATCTCCCTCTCCCTCCCTCTTTCTCTCCCTCTGTCTCCCTTTCTGTTTCCCTCTCTCCCTCCCTCTCCTTCCCTCTCTCTCTCCCTCCCTCCCTCTCCCGCTGTCTCTTTGTGCTGTAAGCTGCCTCACTCCCCCCAGGCCCAACCCCGCAGTTCTGGGGCAGCTATCCAGAGAAAGGGATCCCCCCCCCCCCGTAAACCCCAGTCCCCTCTGTTCCTGCCCCAGGAGTTTATTAGTATCATTTCCATTCTGACATGCGGAATGAAACAATGGCAGTAATAACAGCAGCGCTCATTAATTTCATTACTTTTTATTTATTTGCACAGCTGCCATTGTCCCATAAACGGCTTTTGTTTTATTTTCCAATTGAAACATGTTTTTTTCGTAATTTTGTAATTAAGTGCAGCAGTAATTCTTCTCCTGGGACTCGAACCACTACCCTTCTGTTCCATAATTATTCCCGCACCGACTTTCTGTTGACCTTGTTGGCCGTGTGGCTGGCCTCAGCTGTCTGGTGTAGCCAATCCGTGAGAAAATTAGCCCCCCCCCCCCCCCCCCCCCCCCCCCCCCCCCCCCCCCCTCCCCCCCCCCAAAAAACAGAAAACAATCCCCCCCCCCCCCCCCCCCCCGGCGGGGGGGGGGGGGGGGGGGGGGTGCTCAGGTCTGTCTGTATATATCTCAGGTGACTCCTGCCTTGTACCTGATCATTATTCCAGGGAAGCAGGTGAGCAAATGT